ACGTTTATGTTGTCACCCTGCTGCGCCGCCACCGAAAAACTGTGCGAATGAACTTTGTACCTCCGAAGAAGGGGACGGTACCGTCGAGGTCGAGCCGACGGCCGCCCGCAGCTGCCGCTACACTTTTCGTCGTCGTTTCCGAGCCGTCTAGGCAAGTTCCCGTAATCCCGTATATGTCGCGATCCGGTGCGCCGCCGCCGTTAAAACGCCATTTTTTGTTGTGCGTTCCGTGCACCTAAGCCTCGCTGCTTTTAACTCGTCGCGGACGCCAGTTTTCGCGTTACGAGTATCGGCCCGTGTGCCGACCTCCCGGCTCATTGTTATTTGTTCGTCGTGTGCCGCGTCAGCGCCGCGACCCCGAGCCGTGGTCACCCACGTGTTTTACGTGCTTGTTCCGAGCCGTCTTTGCTCCCGTGCTGCACCGTCCGATGTGCTCACGATTTTGTCTCGTCTCGACCGTCAGTGTCGCGATACATCATCATCCAATAAGTTCGGTCGCTCGCCCGATATTCGCCGTGCGAATTGAGCCCCGTTCCCTCGTATCCACGTGCTTCTCGCCCGTCCGTCTAACGCAGTGCGAACCGTGGCTGGTACACCTAGTACCTATTTGTTGTTATATCGTCGCCCGCCCGACGATCACCGTGTCATTGGAGTTCCGATCGCCCACGCATCCACGTGTTTTCCCGTCCGCCCGCCCTACATCGTGCGAACGGGTCAGCCCGCAACCGTGACGCTTTCTAGTTTTGTCGTTTGTGCCGCGTTAGCGCCGCGACAACCGGTACGCCAGTGCCGATCGTAATTTGGCCCGCGCCTGCCTATTTTGGTGTCGTATCCACGCCTCCACGCCATCGTCGACCACCGGACGCCAGTACGCGGTGTCGTCGACCGATTCGCCGTGTTCGACGGAAGTACTCCTGCCGCATACCACACAGACGCGAGCAGCAGTATCATTGTCGTTTTGGGGCAACCGCTCCGTCACCACTATCACCTACTATCAACGTCAGCCTATCAGGTCGTACACACGCATCATTTTGTATCACTTATTGTTATAGGTCTCCGACGTGCACTGTCGCACTATTAGTTTAATTGAATTGTTATTCGTCGTCGTCTTCGACGTGCGTTGTGTATTATTATATTATTTTTTCGCCGATCGACTTGTGATCGCGCACTATTTCTTACCACTAACATTAGTCTATAAGATTTTCGTACTGCAGAATATCATAATAAATTGTTTGTATATTTTAGACCGCAAACAAATGTTTTATATTTGCATTACCGCACTAGGTTAGATACCTCACATCATCATCATATTAAATATAATTTCCCTATTTGCAACCAGCTCCTATTTCATAGTTTTTAAATACAGTCCACTATTTCTTCCCTCCCACAGGGCTATCGACTAAGGTAAGTGAGAAGTATCGTCACACAAGACGGGTTGCGTGTTGGCCGCCGTCCGGGCGCGCACTCACACACACGCACACTCGTAACCGGCTTTGCATGTGCAGCCGTCATCCCCACCGATCGTAATATGATACTTATGATTATTATTATTAATATAAACGTTTAGTATACAATGTAAATGCTGAATATGCAACATCTCTTTCCTTTAAAAAAAATATAAAGTATTTTGTGTAGTGCTTAATTACTATGTTAGTATTTATTTATTTTTTTTTTATATACGAGTATTTATTATATAATATGATAACTGATATAATAAATAGTTAATTATTGCAATTATTGCCCTAAGCATAATCACTTGGAGAATATCGCTGAGGCGGTTTTCTAGATCTAATTGGTCTGGGTGTTTTATTTACTATTACGGGATCGGCCGGATCGGGATTTTGATTTTCACCTACTGTTTCAGTATTTTTAGAATTTTCATTTGCTTGTCTAGCTGGTGTAGGTGACAGTGAGTTATTTATTTGGTTGTGTGGCCATATCTGATCAGTGTGTCTTATCCATTCAGAACCCTCGTCTAGTATGATTTTATGAGTGTTTTTACTAATGTTTTCTGTTATTTTTCCTTTTTGCCAATTTTCATTTTTATTTCGATAATCCTTAACTAATACCAAATCACCCTCTTTTATATTAATATCTCTTTTTCCTGAATTTTTTATTTGTGTAATTTGGTTATTAATAACTACTTCATTTGTGTTTGGGATTAATAAATCAAAAATAGTACGTGTTGAGCGGCCAAACATAAGTTTTGCTGGCGTTTCATTTGTGGTTGAGTGTACAGTATTTCTATACATCAATAAAAATTTATGCAAATGGTGTAATGATGTTGAACATTTATTAAAAAATTTTTAACTATTTTTACTCCAGATTCGGAAAATCCATTTGAGGCTGGGTGGAAAGGTGCCCCTGTCAAGTGCCTGATACCTAGTGTCTTGCAATATGACTGGAATTCATCGCCATTAAAACATTTTGCATTGTCAGTTGTTTTTGTTCTGGGAATGCCAAAACGTGCAATTAACTCAGACAGTTTTGTTATGACCGTTTGTGCTGTCATCGAATTTACTTGAAAAACTTCTAGCCACTTTGTGGTTGCATCAACAATAATTAAGAATGTTTTGTTTTTGTACGGACCTAAGAAATCGCAATGCACTCTCGTCCATTGTCTTTGTGGCCATTTCCACGGAGTTAGTACTGACTTAGGAGGATTAGGTCTCGCATTTATGCATTCATTGCAGTTTCGGACCATATCCTCAATTTCTTTATCTATACTAGGCCACCAGAAATACGAACGCGCAATGCTTTTCATACTCGACATGCCAATATGACAAGAATGCAGTTCAGTTAGAATTGACTTACGGAATTTGGTTGGTATGATTACTCTATAGCCCCAAAATAAACAATCTTGTTCAACAGTAATTTCTGTTTTGCGTGTATTATACGAGTTTAATTCGGAATTTATTGAAAAGTCATTACTCCATGAACCTGTTTTTGTAGCGTGTAATACTCTAGAGGTAATTGGATCTCTTTTCGTTTCAATTTTAATTTTGTGCCAATCTAGCGGAAATGGTGACTGTTCGTGAATAAAATTGATGTGAGCGTCGTCATATTCATTAATATTATTGTTGCATTGGTTTGTTTTAATGCGTGATAAAAAATCACCAATATTTCCTTCTGATTTAATATACTTAATTTCAAAATGAAGAAAGAACGTATGCCCAACGTTGTAAGCGATTTGCCGCATAAATTGGTATTCCTTTTTTTTCTCCAAATATGTGGATTAATGGTTTGTGATCAGTAACTAATGTAAATTTTCTACCGTATAAATAATCGTAAAATTTTTGAACACCAAAAATTATGGCTAGACCTTCTTTTTCGATTTGTGGAAATTTGCATTCACTGTTTGACAATACTCGTGATGCATATGCAATTGGTCTTTCTGAGTGGTCAGGATAAGTGTGCGATATGATTGCACCTAGTGCGTATGACGAAGAATCGACCGTGAGTTTTATGGGAAGTTTTTGGTCATAATGTGCTAACACAGGACTTGAGATAAGCTTTTTTTTATGTTATTATATGCTTGATCACATTCTGGTGACCATAGCCATTTTTTTCTTGTCTTAGTAATGAGTATAACGGTTTAAGAATGTCCGCTGCTCTTGGAACAAATTTAATGTAATATGTTACTAAACCTAAAAATGATTTTAACATAGTTTTATTTTCTGGAACCAGGGCAGATTGTATTGCATTTATGTGTTCAGTTAAGGTGTGCAAGCCATGCTCATCGATTTTATGACCTAAATATTCAATTGAATTTTTGAGAAAACTACATTTGTTTTGTTTAACCCTTAAACCAACTTCGGATAAAACGTAAGTAATTTTTTTAATCTATTATTGTGTTCTTCTACCGTTTTTCCCGCAACTATTATGTCGTCTTGAAATATACCAATCCCTTCTAAGCCTGTGGTTGATATTTCCATGGCTTTTTGGAATTCCCCAGCTGAGCTTTTTATTCCGAACGGATTTCGAGTATAACTGAATAAGCCTTTGTGAGTATTTATTGTAGTGTATTTGCGATCACTCTCTTTAATTACCATTTGTTGATATGCATCTTTGAGATCTATTTTAGAAAAATATTTTGAGCCACTTATATTCGCATAAAGATGTTCTATTTTTGGTAAGGGATACTCAGTTCCTTCCAATACGGGGTTGATTGTAATTTTGAAATCTCCACAAATTCTAACTGTACCGTCGGGCTTAAGAATTGGAACAATTGGAGTGGCCCATTCGCTGTAGTTCACGGGAGTTAAAATATTATTATCTATTAAACGATCAATTTCCGACTCTACCTTAGATTTTAGTGCTAAAGGAATTGACCTTGGCTTGAAAAACTTGGGTATTGCCCCCTTTTTAATGTTTAGCGATATTTGGTATTTATTAAAGGTGCCGATTTCATTTTTGAATAAATGCTCGAAATTTTTTAATATATTCTCTATATTTTCGTTTACATTTATAGTGTTATAAATGGGAGAATAGTTTATTATTTTTAAATCATTTCTGCCAATTAATGGCGGTCCTCCGTTTTGTTTTACGTAAATGCACATTTTAAAAGACTTTTTCAAATATTTAGCATTTACTATTAATTTTCCTATTGGGCTTATATCATTTCCGACGTAATCGCGTAGTGAAATATCGTTTGGTAATAAAGTTAAATTATTAAAACTTGTATCATATAATTGTTTTGACATTACACTATGCACAGCCCCCGTATCTATTTCAAATTTTAAATCTTTATTTTCAATTAATAAATTGATAATGTACGGTTTTACTTTATTTTGAAAGTTATTTTCAATCATATTAAAAAAAGTGTCAGATAAATTGTACGCGATTGCGTCATCATGAATATTTTCATTCGTGTTATTACCAGAATTTTCGGATAAAAATTTATTGTGTGAGCGGTTATCATACTTTGGTTTATTGTTCTTACTTTTACACATAGGAGCCAAATGACCTTTGATATTGCAAATATTACAACTGTAGTCCTTGTATCGGCATTCTTTTTGTGTGTGATTTGATCGACCGCATGTTCCACATTTTGATTTTTCCGTGATTGACTGCTTGGCTGATTTTGCTTGCTGACTTTGTTTTTGATATTTGAAGTCAGCTTCTTCCTTTATCCATCCGGGTTTATTGTAGATTCTTTTGCAGCAGAAATTTCCATAAGGTGCGAATATGTGATGCTTATTTTTGAGGCATCTTCCTCTAGTAATCGATCTTGAATTGGTCCCGCGTTCATACCAACAACAAAAATGTCACGGATTACAATTTGTAATTCCGTTGAAAAATTACATTTTTATGCTAGGTTCTTTACTCTTGCTCCCCATTCAGCTACAGTTTCGTCTGGTCTCTGCTTTGCGTTGTAGAATGCATATCTTGATGCGAAGTACGATTTCACTGGCTTGTAATAATTGTTTAACAAACCTAATAGTGTGTCGTATGTCTGAACGTCTGGTTTGGCTGGAACGCATAAACTGAATAATATTTTGTGAACTTCCTCACTAATTGAAGATAGTAGTATAGCTCTCTTCTGGACTTCGTTACTTATTCCGTTGGCAATGAAAAAATTTGTAAGTCTTGATTCAAATATTGTTATGTCGTTTCCAGATTCAAATGTTCCTGGTGAACCTATTATATTATGGAATTGAGTAATATTTTTGTTATCCTCACCCATTTTATAAATATTTTAATTTAATATGAGATGAGTTTAAAATTGTTTATCTTCGTCGCCAATTTGTTGTGTATTGTTAATATGAATAATAACACAAACGTATATTATAGTCTTTTATTGTGAAAAGTGTAAAACGAACTGACATACATATAAAATTGTCTACTTGCTAATGACCGATGGACAATCTCCACCGATCGTAATATGATACTTATGATTATTATTATTAATATAAACGTTTAGTATACAATGTAAATGCTGAATATGCAACATCGATTCTAAAGTGTCATTACGTATCGCTTCAAACCTTCTATAATCACTGACGTATAAATGGTGAATTTTACGACGTTGGTCATTAATAATTCTTTTAAATAATTCTATACCATTAAGTTTGTACTGAATACCTTCTTCAATATTTTCAACTATTATTGTTTCTTCAAATGTATTTTCCCAACCTCCTGGTAAAGCATTATTTTTTAATTCAGTCATCCGTATTTTAAATGCTTCAGTTTGATTTTGAATATCAAAAATTAAAACATTGTCACCTTGTAATAATTTTTGATATCTAGAAAATATATAGCCAAGATCTGACACAAAACATAATAATTTCAAATGATCATAATTGATAAGAAAATTTAAAAATCCAAGGGAGACTTCATTGACCTTTTTTGAAAAAAATAAAACCAAAGGTCCCCAATTACGCAACACACTATAAATAAGGGAATAAGTGAATTCTGTTCAACGGACTTCAAAATATTTAGGTAAACGAATTATAGTAAGATTATTTTCCTCTGCTACTTGATGAAGTTCTTTTGTTCTCAACCCAGATCTATGAAAATATGTTGAAATTGATGAACATGACTCAATTAATTTTTTGATTTCAATAACATTTGAAGTTAAACTTTCCCATGCCAATGCACTTCTATGCACTGCACACCAAACTTTTAACAATGGAATAGGCAATGATTTTTTGTCTTTTTCTAAAAGTTGCCAAAGACCATTTTTTTCTCCAGTATTAATTGATGCGCCATCAGTAACAATTGATGAAATTAATGGCATTAATTTATCCCAAGGTATTACATGTTCTGTTGCTGATTTTATTGCATTATAATAACCTATAGCTCCTTTTGATTCAGGTTCATGGAAACCAATAAAAATTAATTCTGTATCACCATCAGAATTGACAATTTTTGCCAATACGTGAATATTATCTATCTGCATACGATCAACAGACCCATCTACACGTAGTGAAATTGCAAGACTGGTTTCTAATTTGTTGCAAATTCGATTAATATCTGATCGAACAATGCACTTTAATAAATCTCTATAACCAGTGGGATTAATGTATTGTAAATCACCATTTTGAGGTGTATACTCTTCAAACGGTTCATGGATATTTAGAGATTTTCTTTTAAGAGCTGCTACTTCTCTCGAAGGCCATGACCATCCACTAAGAGTGCCTCGTTTTGCATCGTTGAAAACTGTACACATAAGTTCTGCAATTTTTTGTGACAATTTATGGTTCTGTGTTGAAACGATTTTGTCCATTGGTGCTATAAATGATTTTTGAACATTAGATAATTTACTAAGATGGTGAACTTTTATACATTCTTTGTGCATAGTCGATGTTAAATGATTATTTAAAAGTTCGTTTCTTGGAATCGTTCCTTCTTCGGAACATATAGCCGGAAGTTTATTGCGTAGTTTAGTATTCATTAATACTGTCTTTTTATTAAGAAAACAAACACTACATCTGACTTTTGTTCTTCCATATCCATTTGATGCTTTAATTTTTTCAAAACAAGGATCTAAATGAATTCTACCAGAACTTGATATGTCTACACTAGTATCTAATTCGCCATTATTATTATCATCATTAATAAAAGAGCATGCCTCATTATTACCTAAAAGCATTAAGAATAAAATATTGAAGCATTAGCAAAAGCCAAAATCATAAATAAAATTAATAATGTATATTGTATAATAGGTAGGTACCTAACTATAACACCTACAAAACTAATTGCAAAAGCAAAAGCTCATAAAAATTATATGAAGGTACTCACCTTCTTCAGATATTTGTGCTTGTACTGCTTGCAGTTGAACGGTTGAACTACCAGAACTTGATTGGCCTATACTAGTGTCTAGTTTGCCATTATTATTATCATCATTAGTAAAAGAGCATGCCTCATTATTACCTAAAAGCATTAAAAATAAAATATTGAAGCATTAGCAAAAGAAAAAAGCATAAATAAAATTAATAATGTATATTGTATAATAGGTAGGTACATAACTATAACACCTACAAAACTAATTGCAAAAGCAAAAGCTCATAAAAAAGATATGAAGGTACTCACCTTCTTCAGATATTTGTGCTTGTACTGCTTGCAGTTGAACGGTTGAACTACCAGAACTTGATTGGCCTATACTAGTGTCTAGTTTGCCATTATTATTATCATCATTAATAAAAGAGCATGCCTCATTATTACCTAAATGCATTAAGAATAAAATATTGAAGAATTAGCAAAAGCCAAAATCATAAATAAAATTAATAATGTATATTGTATAATAGGTAGGTACCTACCTAACTATAACACCTACAAAACTAATTGCAAAAGCAAAAGCTCATAAAAAAGATATGAAGGTACTCACCTTCTTCAGATATTTGTACTGCTTGCAGTTGAACAGTAGACTTTTTTATTAAATATTTTTCCATTATACTAAATACATTTAAATTCGTTTACTGAATATTATATTACAAATTACATTGATTAATAATTATTACAACCATACTACTACGGTATCACGGTCTACAGTTATAATATAAACGTTATAATATAATGTTTGAACTAGACAGCCTATATCAAGGATAGAACCAGTGTTACCGAATTAAAAATGTCATATTACCATTTCATGATAACAAAATTACCACAATTACCTCATCAATTTTACCATGCGTTGGAATGTCGTTATCGGCGCCGCGGCCGGGTGGCCGTGTAATCGCCAGTCGGCATTATTATTTATTTTTATTTTTATGTGTTAAGGATTTTAAACAAATACAATTGGTAATTAGTAATTTTCTATAATCAATATTGAAAATAATTTAAATAAAAATGTATAAAAGCCAAAAAAAAGTACTGCACACTTTTAAATTTGCTACTGCACAATTGATTTTTGCTACTGCACATAGTGTGTGCTACTGCACACAATTTTAGGCCCTGCTTGGCAACCACGTTATTAAAACCTTCAACTACATTGTTATTGACATTATATATCAGACTCGATGCATGATGTGCAACTATATTTCTGGCCCCTAATATATCAACCCATAATCCAGAAGTTTCCATTTGAGGAACTAGATTAACCTCATTTTCTTTTGAGCCTTTACAAAAATAACTGAAATATACATATAAAATAAAATAATTTAGTTTGAGAATTTATGCGTAGATGTGGGTCATTGAAGGTGCATTTATTAAATTTGAATTCAGTGATATATCAATATACTGTGTGTCCACGCCCCGCGGAACCAGGGAAAGTATACCTTTAAGGTGCGATTCCTTAGGACGCGTCTGTAGACGAGCGGCCAATGCGGCTGCCGCATTGCGGCCGAAATTTCAGCCGCGCCAGACTGGTTTTGCCGTTTTTAAATGGAACCGTTTCCTTAAACCGCCGCAGGCGCGCTCGGCGGTCGCGACGAGTACCCCCTCAGTAGGCAGTCAAAACGCACGAGCCGCGCGGGCGCGGTTGATGGTAGTCGGTAGATACAGTTGATTTTTTTTCAGAAAATTTTTTTTTGTTGTAAAAAATGTCTTCAAAAACTTTATTTACTTTGGAAGAAGATACAATTCTCGCAGAATTTGTTATTAGTATTAATTAGTTATTAAATCACTTATTTCTATACCTAATATTGTTATTATTATAAATAAAATTACATTTTTATATAATTATTTTACTATATATCTTATATGTAATTGAATTAATAATAATAGTAATGATAAAATTCAATATATAATAAATAATCATGAATATTGTTAATTATGTTTAGAAATATTATTTAATTATTTCATAAAAATGTTACAAATTATTTAAATTATAAATAATTATAAAAAAAAACTTTCAAAATAACAGTTATTAATAATTAAATGTCAGTTCCCTGTGTTCGGCTGTCTTGCCATGAAACAGCTCCTTGTTCACTATTGAAAAAATTTGTAAATTCATCCCATACCAAAAATCCTTCGAAATTTGCGTAACCTACAGATTTAGCAAGAGACATCATGTTCTTCAAAGGTTGAGGTTCGTTTGGATCATAATTATAATAATAATTAGGCACATTTTCTAAATATCTATCCCGGAGAAGATTATGGAGGCAACAGGCTGATAAAACTAGTTGATCAGTTGTTTCGGTTTTCAAAGAAATGGGAGTATAAAAAACCCTAAATACTTGGCTTAAAAGACCAAAACTATTTTCTGTAGTTCTCCGAGCTCTTGGCAAACGATAGTTGAAAATAATTTTTTTGTTATCATTCCGGGCTTCTCCACGAGTGTATCATATGTGTATCCAGACGGAAAGCTTCATCGCCGACAAGAACAAATGGTAAGGAATAAGATTCTTCAAGAACTAAAAAATATTGAACAAGACGATCCTATTGATGCTTTTTTCACAAGTATGGCATTAACGGTAAAGCAGTTTACTCCAGAATTAATAATTCAAGCTAAATTTGATATTCTTCGTATTGTAAGTAATTTAGAATTAAAGAATAACAAATTAAAAGAAATTATGCCACCCCCTCAAGTTCCACAGCCGTCTACTTCTTCAAGCTACGAATTTCCCACAACAGTCAACCCTTACCAAAGCTCCGAAGAAAGTTCGCATCCAGAGTGGGTAGATTATAATTATTCTACATCCAATTCGTTTGATAGCCAGCAACAAGATAGTGAACAACCAGAGGAATATTGGATTCATTCTCTTAATAAGTAGTTACCTTATACTTTATTTTTATTTTTTAATATGACTTTATAGTTTAAAATTTATTTTCTATATCTATTTGTTTTTTCTAAGTTTTTATTTGATTTGTTTTAATATTATATTTTATTTATTTAACTATCATTAGAATATAATTTTGTTACATTTTGCTACGCATATTTCACCATTATATAACATAACTTATATACCATTATATTAAATCATAATTTTGTTAAACTTTTTATTTAAAAAAAAATATATACTTTTCTTTAAACTTAATTATCAAAACTTACTAACTACATGTTATATTCATTAAAATTTAAGTATTAAATTATACAAATAACAATTTTTTTTGATGATCAAAGTTAATTAATTAAGTAGGTACCCACTCAGTCTTTGTTTAGTACTGAAGATATTCACTTAGTGAACAAAATACGTATTTATTTAGCAAAATAGGTAAGTATATATAGGTACACAATAATATAATATATCATACCTATTAAAAAATGTCAAAACTTTACCTTAATGTAACTGATAACTTCTCGGCTGGTGTTATTGGCTGTTTAACTCGATTGTAAGGATCACTCTTGATGTCATCTTCAATGATATTTAAAACATAATTAAATTGATCATAACTCAATCGAAAAAATTCTCTGAATTTGGTTTCATCTTTAAATAAATGTTTCTCAATTAAAATGTTATAAAAGCCCTCAATTTTTCTTTTGAGAAACATATCATGAATATTGTGATTTTTATTATTCATTACATGTTCGATTATGGCTGTTTCTTCGTCGATTTGCTCCAAAAGCATTAATTTAATAAGCATTTTTTTTTTCTTACTGCGCAACATTATAATTAATTGTAAAATATGCACCAGTAGGTATAATATAAATACACGAATGACTTGTTGACCGTTCAGATGTACAAGGGAAACTGGAAATGAAAAAAAATTGGAAACTGTATAATAAAATAAAATACGCCGTGCGTCTCTTGCGGCCATATTTTGTATTTTCTAGGGAATTCGTCATTGAGCCGTGCGGCTCGTGCGGCCGAAATTTCGGCCGCAATGCGACAGCCGCATTGGCAGCGCGTCTACAGACGCGTCCTAAGGAATCGCACTTTAACACTTCTACCACTCATTACTTTTTATATATTTTTCAATTCTATTGGCGGGATATTAAACTAGACTAATGGCTCATAAATGATTACTGTTTTATTAAATTATTATTATTACTTAAATAATAATAGTTATAAGATTATATGAAAGTGTTTAGACCAAAAAATACGTACAGTTATAAAATAAAAGTAGATACACATTTCAAAATAATATTTTTTTTTTTTAATTCTTAGCTCCAATTTAATAAACTTTGACTTTAGAATACAAGATGATAGATCATAATTAGTTGAAAAAATAATTACCTTGCGCAATCATTATGGGAGCCAAATACATGATATGGACTATTCAAAATATCTTGTTTTAGGAGTGCAACTTTTTCATTGTGGCTGAGATTCAATTCTTTCCTAAAAGCTATTGCCTTCGTCACTGCACATCTATAAAATATTTAGTTTCTAGTACATCGGTTTAATTATTCATAAAGCGTATTACCTTAATTTAAGTCGCCTATCTTTTAAAATTGTTCTCACCATCCCAGAGGTTCTCTTTCGACGAGTGGACATATCCACAATACGGTTACAGTAATTTCTTAGAATGTGGTTAACACATTCTATTTTTTTAATAAACATACCTGGTCCGTAAGGTTTAACCAATGATAATTTTTTCATGACACTTGAGTCCCCATTACCAATAAGTTTATTAAAAATTACGTTGTGCATTGACATGCTTTGACGAAATCCCTCAACAATTATATCAAGTTCCATCCGAGTTCTTGAAATATTTATGAACGGAGACTTCTTGTTTAGTGGATTCAGATTTTTGACATACAGCACAAAATTTGTTACGAATTCCCATAAAGAGAATTTTTTTGTTCGGTAGCCCAATAATGTCGCCTAAATAAATTCATTTTTAAGTTATTTAAAAAAAAAAATAACATTTATGTATTAGTAGAGTATATTCGATAAATTGTGTTTTGTATATTGAGTGGAACGAAGAATTATTTGTTTGTGTCTGATGAATACAAAAAAATGTATAGGTACATTTTTAACTGCAAATATTCGTGATTTTGACGAACTTTGTTATATTTGAACTTCAAACACTTATAAAAAAAAATTGTGAACATTTTTGAATCGCTCGTAGATTACACCCAGATAAATATCTAGGTAAAATTTAAAATAAGTTAGATTAAACCAACAAACCCTTTGTTAACATACGTTCTACAAACTATTTATTGATGCCACAAATTTATTTTTGTTAAAACAATTATTATCCCTATTAGTTTATTCTAGCCAACTTATAGGTAGGATTAATGAAATTGTTGTTAATATGACCATTCATACCCTTAATAATTATTGAACCATATGTAAATTAACTAACTTGCTTGTTATTGTTACCTACCTAAGATAATACTATAGGTAGAATCTAGTAAACTCATAGGTTAGATTAATGACATTTTTTTAACATACAATAAATTCATGCCTTATTAATAATTACCAAACTGGTTATTACATTAACCAACTTCCTTGTTATTGTTACCAAAGATAATACTATAGGTAAAATCAATAAAATAATTTTTAATAATAAAAGTTTGTGTTTTATCAATATATAGCAGATATTTAGGTTAAACAAAAGCTAAAAATATGAAGAAAAAAAAATTTTGCTTGAGAAAGACATTTTTTTCTCCCTTAAAATAATAAAACAACTTAAAGTTTATGTTCAATAATGATGGGTATGATAAAATTCCCCGTAAAATTCAAAGATCTAGAACATAGACTAATAGGTAATAAAAATATAAAATAAATTAACTACCTATTTATTAAAGTTATAATTATTTATTTATAATCTTTTTTAAACAAATGGTTTTAGTATGTATAGAAAATATTAATACAAATTAAAAATTATAATGAAAAAAAAATATACATATATAAAACTGTTACACCTAAATGATGTACGATTACAAAATAAAACAATATACAGGTATTTATAAATTATAAATGTTGGTTGTACAGAAAAAAAATTAAAATATGGCTATGACACTCTTAATAATACAATGGTTTTAAATATTATAATTTGCATCTAATTCTGAGGAAATTTGTTTTTATAAACTAAACTTCTATCATATTTAGTGTTAATTTCATAGAAATAATTTTGAAAAAATAACCACACGTTACTTGATTCATATGGATATTCAAGATTAAAAACGTGAAATAGCTTAAAACAAATATCCACAGCTTTAAAAACAGAAAACAACTTGTATTTAACATCATCGAAATATACTAATATTTGTTTTGGGTCAACTAACAACTAGTATACATGGTTGTATATTATTTTCTTGTTTTTTCAATTTGTCTATGATGACTTCTAGTTCCATGGGAGAAGATGCTACTATAATAAATGTATTTTGCGAATCTTTTATGGAATATTTTACAAAAGATTTTTTTCCACTGTCACCTCTAGTAATTTTTCTTGAGGAAGGACAACCACTGAATGCATCAAATAAAATATAGCCAAGTTTTTACATCTAAAACAATGTAATATGTATTATTAATTATTTTGTACATTCAAATTAAGATCACATAGAAAAAAAGTTCATGTGTCTTATGGAAGATATTGTGATGATAAAAAATTTGGTTAAGCATTAGACTTAGTCCATTAGACCTGCAGTATTATAAATTATAATGATTAAAATAATAGGATTTAACTACTAAGACACAATGATCAAGAAAAACAACTACAGTTGTCACTCAATAGTTAGAAATTCAAGGAACCAATCTAAAAATTTAATTTTAGAGGTTTTTGATTGACCGAGTTTTTGTTTTATTATATACATATGTTGTATTATTATTTTTTATTATTATACATTTATTTTATTATTTATTAATGTATAGTATTATATTGTTTTAGTAAATAAGTCAATATAGTAGGATGGTCCTTTATTTGGGTATAGTTTAAATCATAGAAGCTGGGATGCAAAAAGGTAGAGTAGCATCTTTTTTTGTTTTACCAGCTTCAACTGTTACAATCACTTTTTTTGGGGTGCGAAAAAACACTTTTACATTATGGGACCCATATCCAGACTGAACACCTACATTTTATTAAATTTCAATAACTTTTTACCAATTACAGACATTTATTTTGTTAAAATGAAACAATTAAAGTTGAAAACCTACCGATAGACATTTCAAATTATCGAGGGGACCGAACAAAATGTAATTTCTTATAATTATACAGGTTTTCCCAGGGGACCAAACGTTTAGTTAATTTAGCAGTTTTTCGAATTATTGAGTAACTACTGTATAATCATAGTAAAAATGTAGAAAGTTAACTTTTTGAAAGTTACTTATTGGTTAAAACTTACTTTCGCATAAATTAGAAGATTCTTTCAATTGATTTAACAATATTTTTACTTGCATTATCTTTTATTCTTTCATCAAAAATTTTCAATATCAAAGATGACTTTATTTCAAATTTGGCGGATAAGTTTTTAAAATTTGAATATATGTGACAGAAATCTATCTCTACCTAAACAATATAAAATATTATTTACAAAACATATATTAGCTTTATATGTAAATAGATTAGATTTACAGTTTTGTAGTAAATATATTGAAATTATATTTATTCTAGTGACTTTTACTGATATGAATACAATGTACAGAGTATATTTACCAACTATTAATAGCCCATTGGTTGTGTAAACTGTATCCATTTTTTAAAAATTGCTGCGGTATTATTATTCCTTATATATTGAAGCCTGAAATTTGTAGTTTTTTCCAAATCAATTCAACTTCAACCCAACTTAAATCTGAATCTTGTAAATTTGCACACATATCTTCAGATTCCGGTTCGATTTCTATGTAGAACATAATATACAAAAAATATTTTATACTAATTATAATCACTAAGGTAATATAGTTTAAATAAGTATCAAACAATATGTATATGATGGATATAAAAATTACTAATATGACACTTCAATTTTCTGCCATTATAGGTAACATAAAATTTGAATTTATTATTCTCAGTATAAATATTAAATAGTATAATATGTATTTAATTTATAGATGGATAGATAATAAGAAATATTAGCAAATATATTATAATATTAAATCAACATTATTTTTAGAACATTATAGTTTACAGACCAATCAAATTTTGAAATTAAAAATTTAGCATTTATGAAAAATAAATTTGGTTTTGAAGAAATCAAGTTTTATGTCTTCTACAGTTATATTATAAAGCTTATAACACGTCATATATTACTTACCAAGTGAATGATTAAGTTGATCTTCAGATCTACAAACAATTTTCTTATTATGTTCATGTGTTTTACTACTTTTTAATCCAACACCTTGTAATTTTTCATTGTATGAAATATTTGAGTAAATTTTACCTTTCGGGACTTTACAAGGTACATCTCTTAAAAAATATACATCCTAAAAAATATATTCAACATAAATTATTAAAAATATTAAAATTAAATTTAGGTTATAGTTAAAAATTGTCTACCTTTATTTCAGTTGGGAATGTCAGTAAAATCGCATTGGCTATATCATTGGATAGATTGATAGTCATAGTCTGGTTTCTCTTAATAAAATCATTTATGATAATTTCCACAAGTAAAGTACGACATGATTCATTCAGATGTTTGTGTTTAAAATAATAGTCTACAATCAATGGACCTTGGGTACTCCTAGTTAAAATCTGAGTTAAATCAAAACAATTTTCTGATAAATTCTTTGTAGAGGAGTTTGATGAAACGAAACGTTGAGTTGAAGTTGATGGGATGGACTTGGTTTCTAAGAATGAACTATCAAGTGGTCCCAACTGTTTTTGCTGATATTCATTGACATATTTTTCAAATTGAATTTGTATACCAAGTGGAAAGTTTGTCAACAATTTTTCAATATGTCTGTACTTCATATATTTCAACACTTCGATGTCTATAAACTGATCTAAAATAAAAATATACTCATATTATGTTATATTTAGTTACATTTTCAGTACAGTTTTGTAGTAATAAACTGTTTTATGACTTTTTTTTGTAATAATAATTTTTTTTAATTTTAAATGTCAAATTGAGTCCGACCGAGTGTTACAAAATTTCAATGAATAATTTATGATTTAAAAACAAAATTTGTTCATTATTTTATTGATTAATTACATATAATTTTAACAATTTTTAATCATGGTATTGTAAATTGTTTATTGTTAACTATTGCTATATCCCTATCCAATTCTTACCTATGCAAGTTTGATAGACACACTCAAGTTTCCACAATTTTAAAATGTTCCATATTTCTATAGACTCATCATTATGTGTTGAGGATTTTTCATGATTAGTTAAAGTGGATGTTGGTCCACCAATTTCTGTATATATTTCATGTTCAGAATTATTAGAATCTTCTAATAACCAACGGTCCATTATATAAAAAAAATCTATACAAAGAAAAATATGATTTTATAATAGGTTCACAATACAAAGGGAAGTTGGTGGGTATTTATATAATTCACTATGGACAACTTATAAACTAAAATTAAACAATATTTACATTAATATGTTCACATTCAAGGTGTAAAAAAAATTATTTAGTGATATTCTTTTAATCTTATGAATAAATTCCCATTAATAACTTGATTAATACTTATTGGAGGTCCATTACAATCTTCTGGATACAAAACAGTTTTTATTTGTATTAACTTTATAAGCTCTTAAATGAGAACAATAACTATCAATTTCGATTTGATGAACTATAAAAAAAACTACCAACATATTTATGTTACAAACGATTTCTAAAATCTCATAAAGACAAACTTCATCGACAAAGTTTGTTAAAAAATATCCAGTTTTAAATTTAGTACCCTTATACTTTACTTGGGAGTAACTCAATAAGTTTTTAGATGAAGAGCCAAAAATTCTATCTAAAAATGTAGTATTGTTACTTGTTATTTTATGTATTTCATTAATTTCAATATTTTTGTTATTGTTATTGTTTAATATGTTGAATGCAAAACTATATTGATATTTTTTTGCCAATGTTTGTAATGTTTTTTCTAGAACTAATATTGCGAGCATATGTTTTTAAGTCTTTATGTTTAGCTTCAAACCTATAACACCAAAAATGTTTAGGAGGGCCCGATTTTCGAATAATTGATGGATAATGTAATAATATATGATGTTTAGGTTTCAAAGTGTCATGAAAAAGTAAAATATATTAAATATAATTTAAATTATAATACTTTATAAGTTTTTCTAAACGGATGATTGAGCTTTCTTTAATTTGGTATGAAAGGAGAATAGTTATTATTTCTGAAAAATTTAAAAAAAACATCCATACTGGATCATGATCTGGGATTAAGTCACCAATCATTAAGGAAAAAAAGTGAACAAATGTCATCATTTCTCGGGCTGTCATCTTTAAGTGAAATTGTTTGATATTATTTATTTTAATAGGAGGGGAGATGTTGCCAATTTCAATAAAGCCATAATTAAAGTTTTGTTTTCTTAAATTTAAAGTATCTAATGAAAAAATGTGTACAGCCTCTGTGTAATATTTAATAATGTGGCAAAGGTTGTAATGACAGATACCTTCAAAAATATCATGCATCAAATCAATACTAAAATTTGTTGTTGCATGGAATGATATTAATTGGTTAAAAATTGGCTCTTTATAAATACCAGTTAATTTGAAATCATTTGTACTAATATCTTCTGTATAGTTTTCAGAATTACGAAGTAATAAAACATTTTCTTCTGATGCTTTTCGTGTGACACTTTTCTTTTCTTTGCAAAATCTGCAAAAATAATTTGCAGAAAAAGACTTGCTAAATTCTAAAATGGTATTCAAACCTAAGTTGTCACCAACAAGTAAACCTAATACAAAATGAACTTTTTTTAAACCTTTTTAGTTGAAATAAATATACCATCTACTTCAAGCGTATTTAACTCATGAATTAATGTTTGTAAACATAAATCATTACCAAATTGTTTCATATCAACTGACTTTAGTAAGGCTGCAATAAATATATTACATAATTTAGATTGGTCACTTAAAGGGAAACTATAATATATAGCACAAATGGAATGGCAAGAAGCGGGAGAACTTAATGGTTATTTACCTCAAAGTCGTCAACGTATAAAAAATATGCTATTACAATGTTAGTATGATACGGAGCGATTTTATCCTTCCATAAAGCACCCTGAACAAAATGTGCTAAGACTGTGTCATCTGAGGTGCTCATTAAACGATCATATTCTGTTAATGTGCTATGTAAATTATCATTATGCTCAAAATATGATTTAAATTGGAATTGTAATGGCATTAAAATTCCTTTAGTAATATGCTCACTATAGTAAGTTTCACCGAGAGAAGAAACTAAATTTATTTCATTGTTAATAGTAAACTGGTTTATATGAGAGTACAGATTATTATTTTTTAACCATTTATCTAAAATATATTCAGAATTGCATAGTTTGAATGGTGTATAAATTGCTGAAATAATAGTATGAAAAGAAGATTGTAATAATGGGTCTTTAATTAAGTCATTAACAACATTTTTTAATAAATCGGCTATAGGTTTAAATAAACTTTCAGAAAATTCTTTCTGTATATTGGCTACATCTTTTCTCGTGAAGTAAGTATTATTGTGTAATGACATTGTTAAGTTAATAGCGGCTTGATATATTAAATTAATTGCATTTTCAATATTAATTTTTGTACTAGGTAAGTCAGTTTCACACTCCAATGTAAAACTATCATCTATTTGTACTGGGGCATTATTGATATTAATTTGATATGATATTTCAGTTGTGTCGTTTATTTCTACATGAGACTCATCTATTTGTTTCAGTTTTAATTTTTTAGGAACAGTGTTTTCTAGATTTTCTGTGGCATGTTTTCGTGAATAGTGTTTTTTTAAACTATTTAAGTTAGGAAACATTTGAGTACATTGATTTTCAGTACCTTCATTCATATGTACTTGATGGTTTCAATGAATGTAATATTTTGTAATGGACCACCAATGTCGATAACAACGAAAAATCTTCTTTACAAATAAAACAAATCATTTAAAATTATGATAGGTAAGCATAAGGTTTAACTTATATTCTAAGCATATTAATTTATAATTAAGTATTTAAAAATAAAAACCAGTATAAAAATAAAAATAAATCAGTCAATTTTTACTACAGATTCAGATTTCAGACAATCAACATGGGAATGTATACTAAATAGGTACATATTATAGTATTCTCATTCGTATATCGGATGTTAGTGTTACCATTATATTATACATACCATTATTCTATTCTGTGTACGTACCTTATAAATATGAAGACAAATCAGTATCACTAGACAATAGTAGACCAATGGTAGCGTCGTAGCGATTAGAAGTATTGGTAACCAATAATAATATATGATTAATTAGGATATTAATTTAATATAATAGGTAAACAACTGTAAACTAATTTGTAAACGCGTCACAGTCACGGAATCACATCAAACACAGAGTATTGTTGTGAACTATTAAGTTATTTTTAGTTACATTCTGTAAATTTATAATTTTTTTATTACCTTATGTTTCAATTCTTAGTTTGAAATTTTGAATAAAATTTTAAGTGGAAACTTAGAAAGTTAGAAATACCTAACTTATTTTAAATTTATATCAGATTGAAATAACGTCAACAAACATGAAATAGGTAATAATTATAATTCATCACTTATTTTTTATTACAAAATGGTTATAAAATGAGTTACAGTACTTAAAATTTTAAAAAAAATTATGAATTATAATTGAACCCTGCGTTGCTTCAGCGTTGCCCATTTGTGTACAAGATCATCGATATCCAAACTATCTGTTATGTCTTTTTCACAACTCAATATCATCAGTGCATTTAATCGTTGATCAGCCATTTTCGATCTTAGGTAATTTTTTATTAATTTTAATTTACTAAACATTCTTTCGTCAGATGCAGTAGTAACAGGAGCAGTCAAAGCTAAATTACAAATTCGATTAGCCCACGGAAGAATTGATTTTGATGACTCAGATTTTTCAAAAATGTTATTTAAATTTTCTCCATCACATTGATTTAACAGAATTTAAATGCTGCATGTATTGCATCAAAGTAGTATAGATTTGTATGTTCACAGTCTTTTTTTGTGTCACCACGGTAATTTCACAACGTCCAAGGGAGGATGTCCCCCTTGGACACAATAATTTTACCGTGTAAAAATTATGAAGAATTTACACACTTTTTACACGGTAATTTCACAACGTCCAAGGGAGGATGTCCCCCTTGGACACAATAATTTTACCGTGTAAAAATTATGAAGAATTTACACACTTTTTACACGGTAATTTCACACCATCCAAGGGAGGATGTCCCCCTTGGACACAATAATTTTACCGTGTAAAAATTATGAAGAGTTTGCACACTCAAAGTCAGTTTTGTCCAAATATTTACCGTGTACACACTAAATGTTTTTTTCTCAACAAACCTTATTACTAAAATGAAATAATAATTACTATATTCGCATTTACATTTATGTTGGTTGCACTGCAATTGATCTAATTAATGAATGTCAGTATTTTTCTAAAAAATGTATACAATTTTTAGTTATAAGCTGATCATTTTCTCATATTCAGTTACTAATGATCCGCCGTTCACTTAAGTCGTGTCTCATTTTTCTTTATATTCTTGAAGTTTTATTACATTGTATAAGTTATTTAATTTCTCCAAAAATGAATTTTCAAAAATGTCCGAATGATTTTGAATCATTAGTTTATCGTATACGAAATAATCCGACCATGGCTCATCCAAAATTTTCATCGTTTGCATCAAGATTTAAAACATTCAAATTATTCCCGTTAAATACTTCTCAAAATAAATATACATTGTCCGAATGTGGCTTAAAATATTCAGGAGTGGATGATGTCGTGGAATGCTTTTGTTGTGGTCTTATTCTTCATAACTGGGAAAGGCTGGACGACCCATGGATTGAACATTGCAGATTCAGTCCAAGATGTTTATATGTATTATTAATGAAGGGTAATCAGTATGTTCAAATGTATTAAGTAATACTGTAAAACCGAACATATTCACAGTTGTGAATCTGAATCATACGATACTGTTTGTTAATCAAGTTTTTATTATATTATGTTATAGTAAATAAAAATAAAATGTTGATTTTTTTTTTACTGTTGACTAATCATGTTTTTATTATATGTTACACTAAATAAAATTAAATGCTGATTTTTTTTAAAAAAACAAATTATATGTGTTAATATTTGATTTAATATCTCACGATCGTATAGACTAATGAGGTTAGTGTGTGTAGAAATAATTTAAATGTATGCTAATCATGTTATAGTAAATAAAAATAAATGGTGATTTTTTTTAAAACAACTTATATGTGTTATTATTTG